GGACTTTAAACATATTCCCACATGAAAAAGTAGGCGGATGGCTATTTTAGGAATGGATAACCTGGAAGATCAGGTTATATACATCGTGCATGAAGGTGGGCACCCCTGAGATGTAGCTGACCTAGGACTATCTGAGACTTTGAACATGGATTCCAGGATGATGATGACAATGGATTTGACATTAACCAAGACAAATGAAAACTAGATACAAGGAAACCACACGGGGAGAAGAAGAAGTAGTGTATGAAAGCAAAATGAAGCCCCATGATGACAAAGAATTCTCAAGCAGTTGCGACTCATGTCCTGTCCAAACATGTAGAAGGATGAGACTCCAAGTTGTCACTATGCCTCTGTCTCATCACACCTTGCAGATTTAGTACATAAAGCTTTTGGGAGAGTCACCAAATTGTGAGATATACAATGAGAAGAAAGGTAATGGCTCTTATACACTCCCCAACATGTTTGGGTGGAGCATCCTCCAGGGACAAGGGACAGTGTTTTGGACAAGCTATTCAATGGAGATATATCAAATGAGAAGACAGCATTATGGGAATTAAAATATGGTCAAAGAGATAAATCACAATATGAATTTTCAGAGTAAGGTAGAAGTAGGCAGAGATAGTGAGAGGCCCTGCTAGAAAGGGAGCAGGTTGTGCAAAATCCACGCAGATTTGGGGGGTGGTGCCTGTGGGAGTTGCCTGTAGTCAGAGCTTCAGGAGGCAAAGTGAGAAGCCATTTCTGGCTATAAGATGAAGGAAGCATTTGCAAAGGAAGGCATGACAAAATCTTGGAATAGTAGAGCCTGACCATATATTGAAGGAGGGAGGGGACTTTGAATTTCATAAAATGGTCATTACCATCCGATGTATGGATGTGGGATAGCAAGACACAGATGCTACCCAAGCTTTATTTTGACCTGGAGCTTGGGTCCAGGCCAGGGTGCAATGGCACCTAAGCAAGTGCAGAGTCAAGAATAGCCAGGCTCCTGAGATTGACAGTGATGAAAGTCTTATGTCTCCTTGAATGGAAGAAGATATTTGTGAGGACCTGTGCTGCTGCTTCTGTGGGTCAGAAATTTATCATATGCACAAGATCTGCATAGTCCAAATGAAATAACTCATATAGTAGAGGCTAAAGCAAGTGTTCAACTTCCATGTCCAAGGGTGATTTTGCTGAAACAGTGACAGTCAGGTCTCATTTCTACAAATCTCTCAGGAGGTCAGACAGGGAGGATCCCTGGTTCCATAACAGCCTGCGCAGCTACACCTGATGTCTGGAGAAAGGCAAGAGTCTCCACAGGGCGTGCCTCACCTCTTGGTTCCTGAGAGTGTAGATGAGGGGGTTCAAGGCCGGGCTCAGTGCTGAGTACAGCACTCCAGACACTTTGTTCCTCTCTGGGCTGTAACTGGAGGCAGGGCTGATGTAGGCACAGAATACAGATGAATAGAGCACCGAGACCACAAGGAGGTGAGAGGAGCAGGTGGAGAAGGCCTTTCGCCTCCCTTCAGCTGAACGCATGCGCAAGATGCTGGACACGATGCAACCATAGGACAGCAGGGTGAGCAGGAAGTTGAGGCATCCATAGAAGGCATCAGCCAGGAGCGTCATGATGCTATTCACATGTGTGGGGCTGCAAGACAGCAGCAGAAGAGGGGGGATTTCACAGAAAAAGTGGGTGATGACCCTGGGGCCACAGAATGACAACCGTGTCATCAGACCCGTGTGGACAGAGGTATTCAAGGCACAGATGCCCCACACACCTATGGCCAGGGCCCCACATAGGCGAGGGCTCATCCTGGAGCTGTAGTGCAGAGGAAAGCAGATGGCCACGTAGCGGTCATAGGCCATGACTGTGAGCAGCAACAGCTCAGAGGATAGTGACCAGATGAGGAAGAAGAGCTGGGCCATGCATCCCTGGAAGGAGATGGTGTTTTCTGGTGATACTAGGCCAACCAGCACCTTGGGCAGCACAGAGGAGGTGCAGACAATATCCATGGTGGCCAAGTTGCACAGAAAAAAGTACATGGGGCTATGCAGACTGTTAGTGAGGCTGACCAAAACAATAATCACAGCATTACCTGTCAGTGCCACAGCATAAAGAGACAGGAAGGAGCCAAGCAGGAGTAGTCTTAGCCCAGTGTGCTCCGAGAACCCCTCCAGTACAAACTCTGTCACCAGTGTCTGGTTGGGGTTTGCCATCAAGATGGGACAGCCCCAGGTCACACCCACTCCTGTTTGTAGGTCTCTGAAAAGCAATTGCAGATCTTGAATTTCAGACTCAGTTTTCCACACCGATATTCATCTTAAAACTTTTCCTGTGAGAAAGGGAAAGAGTGAACTTATTTCCTTCATGGGACCCAATTAGACCTTTCTGAAAATCACATGTCTTTCATTTACTTTTCATTTTCCACCGGGAAATGTTTCATCCTGTTATTTGTATTTGAAGGAGCAATTACACCTTTCCTACCATTCCACATGTGTAATTCAATTGCAGCATATCTCACCCAAGAGTTGCTTGGTCTTTATTTCTCTTTTATCTGTCACTGCTTCGCTCTGCAAAGGTGCCATGGAGACATGTCAGGGTCCCTCATCTATAAATCAGGGGATCTCCATGGCATTGTTACACATTGGTTGACATACGCTGATAGCCTCTTATAACTTCCTTGAGGTCTGGCTCCTCAGTCACTGCTACTTTTTCTGCTAGTTTGAGTGGGGCTCTGCTTTAGGTTCTCGCTCCTCTGTATGTGATTCCCACAGCAGAGTTTGCACACCTTTTCTTACACTTGCTCACTGTGATATCACTACTCCTGTGGTTGGCCTGCCTCAATCTGAGCTTTTTTATGTGTATTACCACAGCGGGCCTCCCTCTGAACCCCAGGCCTCTGAACCCACATACTTCTATGGCTTTTGTGCCTTGACAAACTATAGAGAGTTCCACCTCAGCACTCCCACAGTGGGACTCATTGCTGTTCACTAAATCTGTTTCTTGTGTGATTTTAATTGCAGTATAGGGCAGCTCACCCAATTTTAGCATCTAATATGTTGGGAGGATTGGAGGAGGGTTCTACCTCTCTTAATCATTGTCATATTTTTAGCTCCTGGCCATAGTAGATTCCTACAAAATATCTGTTCTATGAGCCAGTGATGGTCTTTTCCACCATCTTACCTCTCATCCAATGATCATTGAAACCTGCAAGTAAAGTTTCCTAAATATTACTTACAAATTCTCACATTTCATTTCCTGAACAGGTTTACCATTTCATTCACTCTGTCATTTCCAAAGTAGTCAGTTCATCCTTCTAGGACATTTGCATGTTTTCTCCACTGAGGCTGGGGTAAACACCATTGTGATGGTTAAATAATTAATTATTAATGGTAGGGAATTCCCAGATGAATTGAATCAAGATGGTTCTGGATGTGGAAGACCCACTTTAAGGAGAACTGTTAGAATGGTATAAAAGGAAAACATGAGGGAAGGATTTCCTTGGAAGAGCTTCACTGTAGCTGATTTTCCTTGGAGGAGCTTCAGCTATTCTCTCTGGAGGAGCTCCAGTGTTTGCCTTCACCTATGGTGTCCTCTCTTGGTTTTCAGAACAGATTCTTCAGCTTCTGGCACCGACATTTTGGCCTGCCAGTACAGACTTTAGCTTCTAGCACTGACCCTCCAAGCTCCTGGTGGAGATCCTTTGGTCTTCCACTGTAGATCCTCAGGCCTCCTGATACAAACTCATATTGGACATTGCTATGGGCTCCAGACCTTCACCAGGATCTTTCAGATCTCTATCACATGGGCAGGTCTTTTGCACTTTTCTACATTCGATTTTGTGGATAGCCATTGTAGGTCAATATTGTAAAGTTCTGTGTCCTGTATCAAGTTTGATTCAGAGTGTGCACAATCTTTTGAGATTTGCCCTAGGCCTTCAAGCTCTTGTAAGCACTAATACAGCCATAAAACAGAAAACTTGATAGTAGAATTCCATTTCGTACTCCAAGCTGATTATGCCTGTCAAATTAGTCAGCAGCCATCCTTGGCAATGGTGAGTACTGGAGCTCCTCCAAAGTGTTCTAAAATTTTTCAGGTGCACTACTGATTGACAGGACTGAAGTGGCCTTTCTTGAAGAATTTCTTCCTAAAATTTTTCTATATCCACAGTCTCCTAATTTGTGATCACTAAATGTGTCAGTTCTTCCCACTGCTTCCTCCCCAGAAATGTCCTTTGTTATCTACACTACATTCATTGTCCAAGGCCAAAAGATCCACACCCTTCAAGACCTAGCATAATCATGACATGTTTAGTAAAGGCTTTTCCTACTCTCACCCAAAGCCAATCCAGTAAAACTGATCACTTTCCCTTTTTGCTTCATAATGAACAGCTCTGTTTTTTTAAAAATCATAATTCTTATAATAGTTAATTGTCTTTCAGTTCCTCTTCTTTCTAAAAGCTTTTCCACAGTAGAGGCCACAACCTGTTTTCTTCATGACTCTAACTAATAGGTAAAGAGCACTATAATTCCCATAGCTTCCTTCTACCCTGAAATGGAGATACTGGAATGTCAACTTCATCCACATATCTTTGCAGACAGTGTGTTTGTCTGACTGTGCTTCCTGGCTCACACAGGAGTAGAAAGATACTTTTACCTCATCAACACTTTAGAAATCTCACATAAATGATACCTGTTGCAAATCCTATGTCACAATAAGAAATCTAGTGAATAGAAACAACTTGGACAATTCAAAAATGGCAGTAGTGTGTCCTTAAATTTCATTAGTTACCTTGGATGTAAATGGATTAAACTTCCCAAACAAAAGGTATTGAGTGGTATAATGTTTTTGTAAAAACACATGACAATATGCTATCTACAAAGATTTATTTCATCCTCAAGGACACACACCAATTAAAAGTACAGGAACAAGAAAAAATACTCTGCAGAAATGGAATCCAGAGGAAAGTAGAAGAAGCTGTACTAAATCAGATAAAATGGACTTTAAGTCAAAAGTATGCAATGCACGAACCCTTAGAAGACTAACTCTATCCAAACCACAGTATACTTGAACCATTCTTTAGAACAAATGGACATTTGTCCAGGACAAATATACAAGATATTCCATTCAACAGCAACAGAATACACACTTTTCTCAAATGCATGCAGAAAATTCATCAGGATAGATCAAGTGATAGGCTACAAACCCAGTCTTAACAAATTTAAGAATATTGAAAGTATATCAAGTTCTTTAATGTCTACAATGATATAAAATTAGGAATCAGTAACAAAAATTTTTGCTAAATTCATGAGTATGCAGATATTAAACATCCTCCTGAACAACAAATGAAAAAATAAACAGAAATTTCTTAAGAGTAGAAGTAAAGTGCTGACAGTGAGAGAATTACTAATCATCAGGGAAATGCAAATTAAAATCACCATAGTATCTCTAACTTGTTAAAATGGCTAATACCAAAGACATGGAAGACAATAAATATTAGTGAGTGTATGGACAAAAGGGAAACTTTATACAACATGCATGGGAAAGTAAATTTTTAAAAAGTACATAAAGTTCTGAAAATATTAAAATTAGAACCACCATATCATCTAGCCATATCATCTTTACTGGGAATATATCCTAAAAAATATAACCAGTATGTCAAAGAAATGGCCTCAGTCCCAGGTTCACTGAAACATTATGCACAGTATGCAAACATGGAATCAACCTAAGTGCCCATTAATTAACAAGTTAATAGTAGATACAATGAATAGAAATAAACTTCCATAGGATTGACTGTGCAGGTGACAGGGGTCAGGGTTGAAAAGGAAAGGCTACATTCTGAAGAGAAAAGAGAAAAAAAGATGATTGGAAAGCTAAACAAAAGTGGAAAGATAAAATGGAAAGGTAATTCAGAGGAAAACATACTAGCAATTTGCATTTGTTCATGGAAGATGGAAATGAGACACTGCAAACTAAAGGTAAAGGATAGTGTAAAACCCCCCAATAACTAACAACAACCTGGCAGTTCTTGCTGCAGGAGAAATCTAGCATTCTTATAAGCTTTAAATCCAGCATAGGTATTTGTCTGACAGCACCTCCTACATGGCAAGTGAGGCAAGATAACTTCTAGCAAAGAAACCATTATGTTGCTGGGCATACTGCCAGAGCGTTACAACCAGAGCCACTGAGAAAGGCCCTACTGTTAGGAACTAAGCTACTCTGGGGTTCAGAAGACATGGAATAACCACAATTGGTCTCTGGAGACACAGCGCCAGAGCAACTGCTTGGGAGAAGCCAAAAGAGACTTTGGAAAAGGGGAAGAATCTGTCACAAATCTGCTGAGAGGTTTAAGCAGTAAGAAACATGGAATATGGACAGCAAAATGATCAGTGATACCATCCTCTGTGATGAGCAGTGAGACTAGCCGTGTATGGATTCATGAGGGGAGCTGCATCTGAAAGTGCTGTGATGCACAAGGCTGGTGGATCATCAATCAGTTCCTGCGGCCTCCCACAACAACCAGCATAGATCCCTTTTATTGGGTTCTTCACTCCGTGCTCAGGGCAGAGAACATGCCACAGCAGCTTGGACATTTATCATGCCTGCAGGTGTACAAATTAAAGGTGCTGGAAGTGGGCTGGCACCAGTCTGGTTGGTCCACAGGCTTGGCTGGTAAGAGGGGCTTGGAGCTGGTTCTAATTATTACCCATTTTCCTGAATTCACAAACAGAAGCCTCTGGAATGAACATAACCCTACAGTGGACAACATTAACATGTACAAGTGGTTTCAAGCTTAAAACTACAAACAAGCCAAAACATATTTGATTTATTTGACTAGCTCTGAGAAGGAACACAAGTTACTGCAGCTATGATCTATTAATCACTCACACCTGGAGACATCTTCAACTTTAATACCTTTGCAAAGAAGAATGTTTTAGTCTTTTTAAGTTTTGTTTTGCTTTCCCTCATTATTTTTTTGTTAATCTAATTTTATGTATTTTAAAATTCTTTAATTGAGGATTTTCTCTTTTATTCTTTCTCATTTTTACTCCTCCTTTTTTCTTTTCAAGTCTTCTCTTCCCTTCCTTCCCTTTTTCTTATTAATTTGATTTTTATTAATGTTTAAATTTTTAGTCTATTTTATGTCTGTCCCTTTCTTTTCTATGGTTATTAGTGTTGTAGATGTTGTTTTAGTAGGTTTTTATTGTATGTCTAT